ATCAATATTTTGTTTTACAAATAATAAGATTAAATTATATAACCCAATTTTGCATTAAACTCCCTTATTAAATAAAATTGCGCCGTATTTTTTGATACAATACAAAAATTCCTAAATAAAAGTTTAGCGAAAATTCCAGCTCCTAATTTCCATTTTAAGAGGTTCCTTATTGAGTTTTAAAATTTTAGATTTAAATAACACTAAAATTAATTTAGACCAATCGGGTAAGATTTCTTTTGTAAAAAACTCGTTTGGACTACTGTCAGATCTATCTAACCTCACTTTCTAATAATTATTATTATAATTATACGTTTAATGTACCTACCGTTTAACAAATGCCTTGAATTGTATATATTTAATGCTGTTATTGACATAAATAAATATTTTTCAACAGTCATTAGTTTACCTACTATAATTAATTATTGTTTAAACGTAACAATTTTTATTAAAAGTAGAAAGTGAGATTATTATTAGAGAGATATGACGGTAGTCGGATTTATTGATTAGTCCAAATTGATTTTTACCCAACCTTTATTATTAAAATTACAAAATTTGAAATTAAAGTATTATATAAATATCTTTAGTATGTACTAAGATAAAATAATAATAAATAATAATTGTAAACATTTTCAACAATTGTTAAAATCAAATTGAATTTTCATATTTTTTTAATTATTTATATTGTGGATGCAATAACGAACTAGTATCGCGCACCGCGGGTATTAATAGATAGGTATGCCCTCGGGCAACTTAATCTACAACATTTTTAGTTTAATTTCTTCACCATAATGTTAGTAATAAATCAAACAAGCAAAAATGTCCTAGCACCTTTTATGTAACTATAGCAACTACAACTTAATCCCATTAAATTCCCTAACTGTGCGATTTTTCAATATTACATAACACCATGCGTTAAGTGACGTTTTCTTAGGTTGTCAGTTGTACAAAATTTGGGTTAAATAGTGTTCGTAGATAAAATAAGTTTAAACTACAAGTTTTACTGTGAAACAAAGCACCTGATTTTAAAATTAGTCTGATTCTGATCTATTTTAATACCTTATAAACCACGACTTAGACAAAACAATCCAAGAGAAAATTTTCATATTTCAAAACTAAAAACAAAATCCTAATGTTAACATAAATAACATGACAAAAACAACATAATAAACGTAATTTTTTAACATAAAATCAGAGACACCTACGCAATATTCGTTTGTTTTTTTTTATAAATAAGTTCTATGTTCAAGATAGGTTTTAAATGAGAATTTTTATTAAATAAATAAATTTATTTAGATGTAAATATAATCTCATCCCATTTTATTTTTACTTTTAAACTTCCTGTAAGTATGCGTCAAACAAAATTATTTTTTAAAATAATTATAATTATAATTAAAACTTTTTTTTATTACCCCTGTAGTGATCACTAAATGCGCAATCCTGGCGTTCGTAATTCCATAGTTCTACCACCGCTATCAGTGTTCAAATTCATAAAATCAATTAATGATTCTACACGTGATCTACCAGAATCAAGTGCAAAAAGGTTGCAAATTGCCTGTGGCACCTCCTCCTGAATTAAGTCCCAAAGTGTGAAAAAGGGTGTGAGTGAGGTGATTTTATACAACAAATATTTTTTCCTGGATTACAAATACAGAAAAAACACGTGCTAATAGTTGGCTGTCGAGGTTAAGGAATAATTTTACAACTTGCCTGTCAATGCACCTGAAGTCCAAGTCTGAATAAACCGGATAAGTAAACCTACCAAAATTGGATACCCAAATACTAAATTTTAATGAGAAAATCGCAACCTCAACTTATAAATAACTGCACCGATAGTCAGCAAGCTTGGAATCCGACTCATACAGAGACACGGACACATACGAACAGGAAATACTTCAATACCAGCCAAGATAGGTCCTAGCAGCGTACTAACCAACCAAGCCCCATTTATAAACCCCAATTAAATAGGGTAATTACCAAATCCCTGGTTGAAGGGGACTCCAGATTGTACTTAGTTTTAAATCAGTTCAATGTCCCTCAAAAACCAAAATGTTTTTCCTTCTTTTCTGCCCTCCACTAACCTAAATCGGGCGTATGGCCCAGCCCGGCGACAAAATTCCGGGAGTGGCCTTAACCATCGACTGTCGACTCCTAGGCGAGTATTTACGAAAATCTTATTTTTAACTGGCTCAGAGTCTTAGTGTAGTTCTTCATTTGCAAAAGAAAATACTGAAAGTTAATATAATTTTACAAATTTGTGAGAATTTTATTAATTAAAAATCTTCGACAGTCATTATCTCGGAATTAAGGTTTTACTACTTATGACACTGTTGTCGCCCATGTGCGATATATATTTGTCCTTTTTAACAAAATTACATTGATACCCAAAAGTTTGACTTAATTGTTATTATTTTTGAGTTTTCTCAGAAGTTTTTAATACTGTCCCCAAAAGTTTCTAATAATTCTCCATTAAGTCAACTTCTTAACTTTTTCCGTAAATAAGTTATTTACATATACAATGTAATGTACATTAAGAAATTTAGTTATTTATAAATTTGAAATACTTTGGTTTTAATCATCGTTTGTTTTATAAATTTTATAAATTATGACAGTAATATATTGTTAAAGTTTGGCATACCTTTGCAAAAAATGCAATGTAAAAATAAAAATTATGTTTAATACACTGTTATGCATAGATACAGCGTGTATGTATTGGTTAACATATTTTTAACAATTGCGAACGTGACAACATTAAAAGCATTTGCGAGTGCTGTCAATAGTATGTTTTGGAAATTGCATTTGGATAATAAACGCATGTATAAAAAAAATTAAGCAAAAACACAAACTTGCAAACTGTTCTATTATAAATGAATGGCACCTACATATCTACGCTATTTATAAACAAGTTTATTTTTGGTTACTATAAATTTGATTGTATGCTTACGTTGACGCAAGTAATTTTAGCTTCGGAATGTTTCGTTTTTCAATGATCCAATTAATTAGAAAATGGACAATTTATAGAGCGTTGATCCTTTATGAAACGTTGACCAATAAAAAATGCATCGAGCACGTTGATATTGTTAAGGTTGGCTCGTCGTATCATAATTTGCTTTAAAAAACTATAATTTTGGTATACGAGGGTGGGGTAAAAAGTTTCCTTCCTTAACTCGGGATATCATTTGTTTATTAAGTAAATTTATATTTAAGACGATGTATCTTTTTACTGAATTCAAATTACTGATATACATTTATTCCATGGTTATAGTAGTTTTGTTAGTTTTATTGGTATATTTACACGTGCACTCAGTAGCATATAACAAATGCGCATGTGCGCAGCAGAAAAACGATTGTCGCCGAAACGGCACCACTCTCGCGCAAGCGCGGTTCCTTTCTGCATTTAAGATACATTGCAAACAACGGGCTTCACCCTATTGCAGGAAATGTGTTGACCGTAGGTTGCACCCCGGTTGCATACAAGTGTTGATCAGAAACCATTATAAATGCTCCAACTTGGAAGGAAAATATTTTTTGCAGTTAGTATACAACTGACGGGCAAGGTATTATAAGAAATGTGTTGCTCGTAGGCTGCACCCTGCTTGCATACAATGTTGATCACAGAAAGTATTGAAAATGGACTCCTAATTTGGGCGGAACCATTTTTCTTGTAGTTAGCATATAACTGACGTGCAATGTATTGTAGAAAATGTGTTGCCTGTAGGTTGCACCCCGGTTGCATACAACTGTTCATTAAAAACTATATAAAGTGCGCGTCCAACTTGAGCGGAAACATTTTTCTTGCAGTTACCATGCAACTGACGGGCAAGGTTGCTGCACTGTTCAAAATTTTATGACCATTTTAACACCAAATTAACACCATACATGGTCTATATCGATACAACCCAAAATGGTGTTAAATATGGTTCGTTGGTCCGGTGTAAATTCAAATACTAAAATAGTGTAAATTTAACTTTCACAGTATTAAATTAAATTTTACCTGGCGTAAATTGAACTCCTTTTCAGTGTTAAATATTATGTGTTTTTGTTCAATCAATATTATGTGTTTTTGTTCAATCAATATTATGTGTTTTTGTTCAATCATACTACACAGAAAAAATATCAATCATACTACACAGAAAAAAAGGAAAAAAAGGAAACAGGTTCCTTGACGCATTACCAGTATATTACCAGTGGTATTATTCCAGAAAATTGAACCTTCAACTCGCTAGAGATAATGTTTTTAGGGCGTTCCACAAACTTAAAATACTTCAAGTATTGACAGCTGTTTCAACCTATTAAGGTCTCTTTAATATCGAACAACTTGTAGTGTCACACCAAAGCAAAGGACTACCTGAGCTTATATACTCTTCATGTAAGTCAACAGACGCGAGATTTAAGAACATCACGTGATCCACACCGCCTTTGCCACGATCGGTACACACTATGCAACCAGTAATGCCCGCCAAATTGTTTTAATCGTTTTAACAGAGTGCTTTAGGAGGAAGTAACTCTTATTTTACAAACAACATATTTAGTAAACTGAACCATACAGCGGGTTGGTTTCACTAAAGTTTTCTGGGTCATATAATTTATCAACTAAAATTTAAGGGTCTGAATATCAATCTATAAAAATCAGATTAGCATTTGTTTCGATATCTGTAAAACTATATTAATGGCGCTGGTTTTAAATAAATATTTTTTGAAGTATTTTAAATTGTTTTAATAATAATAATTTATAGTCAAAATAATACTTACAAAGCTTTTAAATAATACTTAAGTTCTTCTTTAACCTCAAAATTACGCGCCCTGCGTTACCAAAATTACGATTTAAAATTAAACCATTAATAAAAGCAAATAAAGAAGTCAAAGCCCAAGGAATTAATGTTTTTAAACAAATTATTAAAATATTAGCGGTCATGACCACGTGTGATGATATAAATGCGTCTAGCATTTTAATCACATGTTGCGACATAGGCGTATTTCGGTTTTTTACTTTTAGACTATTCAGAAGTTGGCATAATGCCTTTCAGAAAAAAGTTTTGTATTTCTTGGCCAGTTTCGAGCGATACGTTAAACCTGTGTGTTTTAAGTGGATAATGTTAGATACTATTAAGGATTTTTTGGACTACGGGTTCATTAACAATATCACTGGAAACAATACTGACTTGCAAGGTACAAAGAAAAGTTTTGTGGTTTTGTGTTTTGTTAAAATTTAATGACATTAGCTAAGTTATTAATTTAAGTCTTCTACGTTTAGTTAATCCACTGACCTTAATATTCCGTAACGAATTTGGCTCAAGTGAAAAGTTTGTCCCACGAGCCGAAGACTAGTTTGACGGTTTCACGAGAGCGGAATATGCAATTCCAAGTGTGTTTCAGACTATACTTTTTTTACGTTTCCAAAAAATATTATAGAAAAATACCTAATTTAATTGAGAGAAAGTGAAGTTGGATCGGTCTAAAAGTTGTTAGATAATAAACACAGATTTTTCGCCACCAGTGTTTATTCCTTCATCCGGTGATGAATAATTCATTCTGTAACAATTTAAGAAATATATGTAATTACACAGTAAAAGGTGATATTAGAACGGTCGTGTTCCGTCAGGAATAGAAAAAATATTTTTAGATCATTTGTACTACTTATTTAGCGAAACTTTAAAGAGCAGTTTTTAATTATTTTTGTTAAGTTTTTATTTTTTATAAATTTTATTTATTTATTAATTGTTTACACATTGAATTTATATGGGTTAAAAACTGTTTTAAGCTTTAGCATTTATTTATATCACATTTTATTTATATCTTATAGGTTAACCTAGTCGTTAATATAAGGCGGGAGGTTAAAAAACTCGTGATATAAATTTGATTAAAACTATTATTATATGTGTTTTAAAAAAAAACATTAAAAATCAATATGTAATTTGTTTTTTATCACGTGGTATTTCCAATTTGATGAACACATGTGTCCTAAAGGATAAAGGATGATTTATTTAGTGAAATTTAAGGATTCAATTTTAGTGTTTTTTAAAATAGTTTATTTCAATACATAAATTGCATTTAATTTGTTTTTTAGCAATATTCAATATGTTATTATTATTCACTTGTTCACACAAGTTTATTTTACCATATGTATGTATAAACTAAATGGTGTTAGAGAACCAACCCTCCAAATTAAAAAAAAGAGAGATAAGAATATTGATGTAATGGGTACATCTTCTTTTGAAAATATGCGGAAAGATAGGTACTTAATTAAAATTTTTAAAATAATACAGAACTCCGCAAACACACTTTCTAAATGTCAACAAAGCTGCAAGCTGCATGGTTGCGCCAATCTTTATAGGCAATAATCACCAGCTTCATTTAGTCAACAAGGAACCAACCAACAAATTTACTTATTTTATCGAAAATAAAGAAAAATTTTAAGGAATGAAAAGTTTAGTACGAATTTAGCGATTTGGGCAAAAGTGAGGGTTGGTTCACAGTTGCAAAAAACCATTCAATTATAAATATATTTTAAAAAATTTATAAATAACCACATAAAAATATGAAAATAAAAATAAACTATTTATTTTATTTGCTACAACAATATAAAACATATGTATAAACAAATTCAGCAAAATATAGCATAAGAAAGTACACACAATTTTTTAAATATTTTATATAAAAGACCTCGTGTATGATTTCGTAAAAAATACATTAAATGAATTCTGAAATGAAACAGACTTACAGTCTTTTATTCGGAACTTCGCGTTTCACAGACATGCTTTCCAATATTCCAGGTTTTTATTTTTCCTTTCTTCTATATTTGTTTTTTTTTCAGTTTCATTTGTATTCCCGGTTGTATTTACAGAATTGTTCCCTTATCTTTTTAGATTATTAAAGCAATAAAATAAGTAAATAAATAAATTTTTACATTTTATTAAAGCCATATTTAATTTAAAGAGGTAAAAATTAAATTATTGTTAAACAATTTGTTTATTTGTGCTTTTTTAGTTTATTATACTTTTGTTTTTTACTAATGTTTCTACTACAAAAAATTTGATATTTATAACGAGAAATTGGAATAAATAATTATAAAAAATATTTTGCGTATTCTTCAAAAATTAAACTAATAAATAGTTTTTTTCAACAATTTTCAAGAGCTTTTCAAACAGGTATCATATATGATACTTTTGAAAGACCCTCATATCCTAAAAATGGTTTTGAGAAATTTATGAATCTTTTTTAGGTCCAGACTTATAGAGCATTGCCCATTTTTAAATAGACATCCTGTATATGCATATTATACAAATTTGATTCGATAAAACAACCTTGTTTCTTTTTTTCTACTTATTTTTTTGGTTATATATTAAAAATTTGAAACACAGAATTAAACAGAAATCTGAATTTGATTCCAAGATCTGCCTAGTCCGCACTTCTGCTGGATTGTTGAGCGCTCGATTCTCTAATATTTTATATTATTACCAAATAAATTACTAGGATTTTTTTAATAAAAATCTCATATAATTAAAGGCTAATGTATATGTAAAAAAATTTATACAAATTTTAGTTGTTTAATTTATTATTTCGTTCGTGTAAAAGTTGACTTTGAATCATAATTTATTATTGATATAATTAAATGTCTCAAAATTTTACTCGTTAAAAAATACACGTCTGTCGCCTTTCCTATGAATTATAGAAACAAATATTTCTCTTAATGTCGAAAAGGATCACTTTTTATGATCTAAGTAAACATGGAAACAGTATTTTTAGACATATATTAAAAAAAACAATTTAAAAAATGTCAAAAATTAACGGGACAGGTAATCCAATTGTTTACTTCGACTTCGAAAGAAATTAATTATGAATTTTAAGTAGCATAAAGTTGGCATGTTAAACGTTTTAATAATAAAAGCTTATCAAATTACAACTCAGCATTTTAAAATAAAAATTAAAGCGATGTTAAATTTTATTTACAAATACGAATGGATAATATGTACAGATATCTTTAAGTTGTCCCAGTTTAATTACTTTTTTACTAAAAATGTTTTAAGGTTGAAGAGTACAATAGGCAAAGTTCATGTAGGAAAAGAAAATTTTAGATGTCGATAAAGTTGAATAAATAAAATGTAAGAAATAGTAATTTAAGTCATAAGGCTGAGAAGTGAGACTTTTTGTGTTACACTGAAAAAAATAAGCTGTTGAAACAACAAAAAAATATTAATTCAACTCTTTATGCACTTTAAATACAAGCAATGGTTTTTGCACGTTTACTTATAAGTGGTTATAACCATCTAAAAATGTCAAATTGTATTGTTTTATTGAACAACAAATATTAATCAAATGAACAAAATGAGAATATTTGTTATAATCTTCTAATCTGGTTAATTAAACATTCTCGATATGTCGGAGTAACCTTTTTAGCATATTCACTTAACACCAATAAAATGTTAAATTAAAATAATATGCGCTAATGTTGGGATAATTGGGTTGGGTTTACATTCTGAAAATGTAAAAGTAACAATCTTTAAAGGTTGGTATTCAAAACAAAATTATGGAATTAATATAAAGAGAAAGAATTGAACCTTCCCTCGCCAGAGTTTTTGTTATGAGTGCGTTCCACCTACTTCAAATAACTACCGACAGACAGCTGATTCGACCTATATTGGGGATCTTATCAGTGTCGGGCAATTTTGTGAAGTGAAAGTTCCACTGTGGAACACACCCAAAACAAACGGCTACCTGAGCTTATATACTCCTATCATAAGCCAAGTGAGGCGAGATGTAAGAACATCACGTGATCAACACCGTCTAATGACGTGGCGTGGGTGTTCGAAGCGCCCTTCACGGCAATTTTATGAATGCAAAATTAACAATAAAGTAACATTTACAATTTGTTAAATGAACAAATTTAATGTTTTGGATTTAAAGAGCAACTAAACGTTAACTTAATAGTTTTTTTAGGTAATCCTTAAAATTTCAGTATTTGATTCAACCAATTCCACCTATTAAATCAAAATAAAATTTTAATTCAAAAAATTAGTTTATGATAAATCAATATTTTAACTGTCAAATAAACAAATAAACTTTGACAAACTCTGACTATTGCTTTGACACCAAAATATAGATTAATCCAATAGGTTTTTTGATGAAACAACATTTTCAAAAATGACATTTAGGCAAACGTTAACTCAACTACATTATTTTTTTCGGTGTAAGCTCAAAGTTTGAAGGCCAATGCCGAGTTGGCCTTATTGAGCGAAGCACAAAAAGGCAAGTCTCCAACATTTTATCTTCAAGGCACAGTTTTATTTGCTTAACGATACATAAAATGCGATACTAATTATTATAATAACAATTATAAAAAGTATAAAGGTTAGGTAGCCTCAGAGTTGTGAGCATTTTACAGACTCCAAAGTAAAAAACTTCACGTAATTCGTTTAAATTATTTTAACAGCCCAGAAGGTAATCGAATACTTTGGTAGTAATAAAGCCTAAATTATAAAAGGCTTAAAGATAAACTGTATTAATCTTTTTATGTGTTGAATTTTATTTATTGATTTTTCTGTTAAAAAAAATAAACAAATGTTTTGTCATACTAATCGACAGTTTGACAAGCGGAAGAAATCTGCGGAAAAAGGGAAAATCAGGAGTTTGTCCCGTTCACGTCCTGTTTCAAGACCTTTGACACCTTCATACCAAATTCCATAAAAATCCGTTCAGCCGTTAAACACTACTTATGTTTCATCTTTTTCATTAAAAAATCCTTATGTACACTGAAAAAAATAAGCTGTTGAAACAACAACAAAAATATTAATTCAACTCTTTATGCACTTTAAATACAAGCAATGGTTTTTGCACGTTTACTTAACCATCTAAAAATGTCAAATTGTATTGTTTAATTGAACAACAAATAACAGTCAAATGAACAAAATGAGAATATTTTTCTAATCTGCTAATTTTGTTAATTTAACATTCTTAGGGTTTTAAGGTGAATTTCTTGAAATGTCCAGGTAACCTTTTTAGCATATTCACTTAACACCAATAAAATGTTAAATTAACATTCTGAAAATTTAAAATTCTTTAAAGGTTGGTATCCAAAACAAAATTATGGAAATAATATATTATTATATATAAAGAGAAAGAATTGAACCTTCACCTCGCCCAGAGTTTTTGTTTTGAGCGTGTTCCACCTACTTTAAAAACCGACAGACAGCTGTTTCGCCCTGTATTGAGGGTCTTATCAGTGTCGGGCAATATGGTGTAGTGAAAGTTCCATTGTGGAACACACCTAAAACAAACAGCTACCTGATCTTATATACCCCTAATCGTAAGCCAACTAAGGCGAGATGTAAGAACACGTCATCGTCTAATGACGTGGCGCGGGTGTTTTATCCCTTACGCTCCATGTGGCTACAATTGTGACTTCCTTATGTACATATACTTTATGGGTTAAAATGATACAGTGGAGCTCCCACTCCTCAATCGTACAATTGTGATATGTGTTTACTACGCAGAGAAGAGCATGCGCTCACCAATTTCTGCCTTGTTTTTGTTTTGGATGGCAATTTAAGCGTGCTAGTTCTTTACATCATTGCGTCTAATATTAAGTTATTGTCTTTTTATTACAAAAATGGCTTTATTTAATGTAGAATGCTTAAAGTGTCTTCAGGAAAGGTTAATTCTTTGACTCTTCAAAAAAAACTTTTTTATTTTGGTTTTCATATTAAAGCAATTTTGTCGAGAAAACTTTAATTTTGCTTAAAAATTTGAATTTTAATTTCTCAGGAGTGTAAGGGTTATGAAAGCAAATTTTACATTTTAAATTTTAAAGTAACATTTACAATTTGTTAAATGAACAAATTTAATGTTTTGGATTAAAGAGCAACTAAACGTTAATTTAATAGTTTTTTAGGCAATCCTAAACATTTCAGTGGTCGATTCAACCTATTCCAGCTATTAAATCAAATATTAGTTTATGTTAATATTTTAACTGTCAAATGAACAAATAAACTTTGACAAACTCTGACTATTGCTTTAACACCAAAATATAGATTAATCCAATAGGTTTTTTGTTGAAACAACATTTTCAAAAATGACATTTAGGCAAATGTTAACTCAACTACATTATTTTTTTCGGTGTACCTATTTAACATACTATATTCAATGAATGTATAGTTTTATTTTTTTTCTAGGAAATAATAATGCATCCCCAAAAGATGGCGTTCAGTGGCGGGGCAATAGGAGCAGCGGCAGCAACGGGCAGTGCAACGGAAACGGGAACAGGGGCAGCACAGGCGGGGGGGCTTTCGGGCTCGGCCTTTACGGCGGCGGGGGGGACGGGAGCGAAGGGGGTGGGTGCAACGGCACTGAAGGCCCGGCCGCAGCAGGGCCGGACCAGTTGGAGGGGCCGGGCTCAATTGAGAATGACTCTATTCACCTCAAGAGACGGGTGGGACTCATCAGTGGGGTGGCTTTAATTGTCGGAACCATGATAGGTTTGTACAAATTATTATAATATATTTTAAAATTTAATATATTTATAAAAATTGATTCATAATAAATATAATATTAATTATTTAAGGAAAAATATAAATCTAATAAAAATTGCAATGTGTTTAATAATTCTAAATCTAAACATTTATAGTAATTTAAACATTAAACAAAATATTTTAAATGTCAAAATGTAAAAAAAAAACAATATCAAAGACTAAAGAAACTTCACATTATATTTTTCATTAAAGTAACGTTTAAATTGAGTGGGTCCTTCTTTAAAAATAAAAATGATCGTGTTTGTTTATTTTTTTTAATTAAAAATCACAATCTATAAAAAAAATAGGCTGTTGTTTAAAAATATAAAAATAAACCAAAAAATATTAAACCTTTTTTTATAATGTTACATAATTGTCAAAAACATAAGTCAAAATTGGTTGTATTAAAATATGGGATTTGGTAATTTAAAGTTTTTTTTTCAAAGGATATAGGTATGGATGTAAATATTTGGAATGTAATAGATGAGAAGAGATAATGTAAAAAATGTTACATTATGATAAAAATACATATAAGAAGGGTTAAGTGTAGCGAGTTTGATTATGTAATTTAAAACATTTATATATTAATGCCTAGACAAGCTATAAGCTTATTGGAATGTATACCTATATATGAGTACATTAAATGCAAAACTCGGTTTTTGCAAATTTTTAAAAATATATATGTATTTTATCCTATTTTTGTACATTACTGCACTGCCTATAGCATACCTAAGTAAACCAGATGTATAAGTTAGTATTTGTAGAATAAAATACATTTAAAAACTTAACGCAGATGCAAAACAGCGTATTTGTTTCTTCCTGTCGAATGCAAAACTCGGTATTTGCTGTTGACCAATCACGTCGCTAGTATACGCATTACGTGACGACATAACAATCACCTGATTAATTGTTATAACAATCACCTGATTAATTGTTATTTTTTGGTATTTGCACTTTTCACTTGCAAAACTTGGTCTTTGAACGAGAAAGATGCAAAACTATTTTTTTAAATCTTTTGATTACAATTATTTACTAAAATACCTAATTTTAAAGGATTTTTTTTTACTTTTTTGAACAAAAATGATCTTATGAGCGGTTTTTCATGTTTTTGTTAAAATCACTTATCCTGCAAATACAGAGTTGTGCATCTAATGTACTCATATGTAATCATAATAATAATAATAATAATAATAAATAGTTTTTTAAAATCAATTTTATACAGGGTGGCCCAGAATATGTGGTCAATCTCCCGGATTTAGATATAACGGACGCCCCTGGAAAAAAAGGATCGAACATTTCAAAACACTTTATTTTCAACTGACACTGACATCATTATTAAAATCGGTAAATGTCAACAAAAAAAATTGCAAAAAAAAATATGTAAAAAACCCTATTGTACAAAAACATTTTTTTTTCGTAAACAGTACATTGTATCGATGTCGATCAAGATTACCTTTTTTAGTTTAAGGTTTAAGCTGAATAAAACTATTATTGTTGGTAGGCATTACTCTGTTAAAGCTAGTCCGTCCCTGGCAAACTAAATAAGCCAAATGTGATTATAATCACTTTTATAAAAGTGCCCATTTTAAGGAAACTTTCCTAGTAAACAATATATTTAAAAATTATTCAATTCCACCTTGTAGTTCAAAAGTTATTTAAAAAAAAACGATTTCCATGGGTGTCCGTTACGGGACCGTATCTCCGAAGAGGGAACCGTAGGAAAAAAATTATAAACTTGTCATATTATTTTTATGTATTCTATTTGAATCCGGGAGATTGCCCACATATTCTATACCCTGTATATTAAACATTATTTATTTTATTTTTATGTATATTTTATTAATTTGTTTATTACAGTCTGTCCATTAGGCAAGTTGGCGAAGCAAAGGAATGTTCATGAAGTTTAGATAAATAATATTAAAAAACATACCTACTCAGTTATATTTTTATTATTATTTATATAAATTATATAATATTATTATTTATATTTTAACAATTGTTTTATAACTAAATAACTTAATTCCTTCGGTCCACCAACTTATCGTGGACAGACAGTATATTATTGTATTTTTTAATATTTATTTTACTTAGGTTCCGGAATTTTCGTTTCCCCATCTGGTCTTTTACTAAGGACTGGATCAATTGGGATGAGTTTTGTGATATGGATGGCATGTGGGTTGTTATCCCTATTAGGTAAGCTAAAATTGTTTGTTTTAACGTACAATGCATATAGCTATGTAAATATTATTCAAATATTCCAAAACGAAAACCTGAAGCAAAACAATTTTACTGCATTTAGGAAAAACACATAACATATTGCTTGTATAAATAGTTAAATTATTAACTTTTAAAATTTTACCATTTTTTAATGTTATTATATATATATATATATACATATATGTTATATGTTATTATATTCGATTTTTTATTTGGTTTTATTATGAAGTGAATGCGAAAAAATTCCCGCTTTAATTTTTTGAACTGTTAGATTTAGTAATGGAAAATTTTAGCATGTTGAACTAGACTACATTTTAAACTAAACATTTTCTTTATTGTCAAAAGGTTACATTTTTGAGTGAGGTTATATTATTACCATAGGTACACCAAAAAGGTGCAAGCTGATCAAAACCAATTATTTATTTTTCTGATTGTATACAGAGTTTGCATAACGTGTCCTTTTTATAAAACTTTCAAATTTTATTACCATAATTATTAAAGAGTACCTTTTGTCAAAAAAAATGTTTTGAAAATTTAAAAAAATGACGATGTTTTGTAAAAGTGACAATTGTGTTGTACATTTGAAAACTAAAGTGGTGACATATAATCAGACCCAAAAGACCTTTTAAATGATACGTGACACATGACCCTCTTTGTATTTTTAAAAATGTGACCTTTTGTCAGTTGTTTCTTTTTAATCCATAAATTGTTGTACATTTGAAAAATAAAGTGGTGACATATAATCAGACCCAAAAGACCTTTTAAATGATACTTGACACATGACCCTCTTCGTATTTTTAAAAATGTGACCTTTTGTCAGTTGTTTCTTTTTAATTAGGTTTAAAATACTAGAATTGCAATTTTTAAAATAAAATTGTTAAAATGCGATTTTTTTTTCTTATTTTGTACATACCCTGTAAAAATAAATAAAATAATAAAAGGGAAGAATTTTTACTTGCTTACTGTATATATGGTTATAAACCTTTACATAGGTGTACCTGCTCCGTGTTGTCGGTTTTTGGTTCTTAGAAGAACCGTATGTCTGACGACGTTTCTGTACAATCTCATGTACCATCTTCAGGTCTTATCTGCTGGGCTGCTGTTGCTGCTCTGCTGCGAGTTAGACGTGGAGTGAGCTCCGTTGCCGCTGATCGTTGTTTATATACCCTCTTAGCATTCCGCGTCATTAACCGTGACTGCGATTGAACCTGTGTTATATTCGGCTCCATTGATCTCGGTAATCTGCTTGGCGTTTTGGTGGTTGTAAGAGCTGGTTTCCATGCAGTTGGTAGTCTTTGTGTATCGTCTCTTGTGTTGAGGTTTCTTGGATGTTTTTCTATTACAATGGCTTCATGGATGGTACGTTTGGTCCTGTGTTCGATGCTAGCCAAGACCCTTGTTTTTTCAAAGTCAATTTCATGGTAAGTTTTTCGAACGTGTTCAGCTAAGGAAGATGTTTCTTCTTGTTTTAAGACTGCGTTACGATTTTCTTCGCGTCGAACGTTGATACGTCTATTGGTCTGTGCCACGTAGGTTCCGTCACAATTCTTACAAGGAATTTCGTAAACCCCGTTTGGAAGTATTTGACCGATCTTTCTTGGGGCGGTAAATATGGTCTCAATGTTATGTTTTTTGAGAACTTTGCCTATTCTTTCGAAGTTGGTTTGTTGTTCTCTGTGGTATTTAACCAGCGTCGTGGTCTAAGAGCCTTTTTTATGATGGTTTTGGAGAATCCGTTTTGCTGTAGCATCGTTTGGATTTTTAGGTCTTTTTGTTTCTTGTGGTCATCATCCGCCAGCCTTTCAAATCGCGTGACAAGTGTCTTAATAACTGACTGCAGTTGTGACGGGTGGTTGTGAGAATGGGCATTGAGGTAGCGGTCCGTGTGTGTTGGTTTTCTGTAGACCGTATGCCCTAGTTTGTCATTATTTTTCTTGATTATGAGGACATCCAGAAAAGGTAATTGGTGTTCTTTTTCGGAATTCACAAAAAGATCAAGTTCACAATGGCGTCTAACTCGCAGCACTTTTAACGAAATTCTAAGAAAACAGAATCCTATGGCAAATTTTTATGTGGGACTCAGGAATTCTTCAATTCCCTTCAATAATAAGGACAATAAAGAAGAAGCTCGTTCTTTCAGTTATAATATTGTCTATTGTGAGATTATTTTCCCAAGTTTAATCAACGCGACGTGGACAATCAGACAATTTTGAACACTAGGTTTTTATCCATTAGTTTTTCTAATGATTTAGAGTAGGATACCTTAGAGCTGAATATAATTATAGAAAGCTCTAATTCCAATATTTTTCTTCTATATCTAGGACATAAATAGCTTTTGACATCCATCAAGAATGATGTGTAGGTCCAGGACCGCATTTCAACCAAGAAACATTTTTTTTATAATCGTCTCTTGCTTTCTGTTTTTATAAGTACCTAACTAGGTATTTTCTTAAACTATTAAATATTCTAAAATATGCCAATGTCAGCTGCGCTATAAGTAGTTTCATGAATAGTTGATTGGTCCAAATTTTGAACCATCAGTAGAGCCGAACAAACAAGTTCACGTCAAGAATTTTTTCAAAGCTTCAATGTCTCCTGTATTACTGGCTTGCGTATTAAATACAATGCCTTTAATGAACGATTCAACTTTACATTTCTTAGGTGCATTAACGCATGCTTGAGGCTTAACCTTTCCCCTTACTCTATTGCTATGAATATTATTTCATAATCAAACTGAAAAATTAGTATGTGGAGGCAAGATTCAAGAGCGTTTATTTTCTGTGAACCACCCCAATTTACGTGAGTGTTTTGAACCCCCTCCCCCCACTGAAATATTTTTCTGGAAATTGTACGATACAAATATTTTAAAACAATTCAATGGAGAAATGTTACATTAAAATTTAATAATAAGGTAAAAAAATACCAATTACATTTTTGTTTATCAAAATACAATTGAATTATAAAAAGGTAAATACGTGGTGTGTTTAATAGACCCAGTTTATTATTGTTATAATATATTTCATTTTAAAACAATAGCAAAAATGTCTAATAAAGTAGATGGTTTTTAGTTTAAATATTAAAACTTTAACGAAAAATGCAATTATTTTTATTACTTTTCACAGAGCAACTTCACTAAACACAGCTTAATGCATTAGCGTTATTAACGGTATTATGTTCCCTACTGATTCAAACCGATGTAATGCATTATACGCTTAAGAAACTTGTATAGCGAATAATTGTACATTTTTATGTATGTTTATAAAATAGTATATTATGTATCAAGTTCGATAAACGTAATTTTAGTCAGGAATTTTATTTAGGCACAGCACATCAAAGCTTTTGAGCTAGTTCTTAGTGAAATAGGCGTCTAGAATTGTTTATAACAACTTGCATATTATACTTACGACAAATATTATTTAGTATATATATTTATTACTATTTAATTTAAATATTTGTTTAGTGCGACATCTATACAAAAATAGAGTAGCCAAATTGACGTTAGGAATTTGTTTAGTGGCTTTTAAAATGGCAGGGTTAGTGTGTAAAAAATGTCTGTAAAAATTGAATTTTCCCCTTGAAAATGGACTAACAAGCGTTTAAATCCGATATAGAAGCAGTTTTTTACAATGAAAGTGAAGAGGACGTTTTATGGGTACTCCACTTGAAATTTTTAATCGAAAAATACTAGTTTACTGCCTACGAAATCAAAAGGTCAGTACAATCGTATGCACGTTTTAATAATTTTGTATTTTTGTATCCAGATAAAAAATAATTTCCACATTTAAGTGGGCACTTTATTTTGAAAACTGTATGACATTTGACAAATGTCAACTAACTTAAAGCTAACTTCAGCAATAAGCTTGTCAATGTGTAAATACAAAGATCACTTAGGAAGTAGAAAAAACCCTATAAATGGTCATTTATTTGGAAAGCCAAAAATAACCTCGCACATAATAATTATTATTATAAAAGTTTACATGTTTAATTAATTTTCTTTATTTATCAAATGGTAATCAATAGTTTTGGTTTGGTTTTATTGGCATAATTTACTCCGCAATATTTTAATTAAATATGACTATGAAAATGTTTTACGTGGGAAAATGTGTTTGTATATTTTTATTATTCCCATATTTAGTATAAAATAAAATAAATATGTAATACATATTTTCGTATGGAATATAAATAAATGTTAAATTTTTTTAACAACTATATATCAATAAAAATAGCTTAATGCTATTGTCAGTAATTTAATTATTCCTACATATTTTGGTCGTGTTTATTTATTAATTAAAAATTCAACATTTTAGTAATTAATTCAAATTGTTTTAAATAAAATAATCAAAAATTATATCCAAACAAACTTATTTTAAAATAAAAGTTTTATTTCCTTTATTTTCTATGCAGAGTAAGTTTTTTATAGAAATCGTAAGTTTAAATTTAAAGTGGGGATTATAAATATAATATTTTTACGTAAATATCTAAAAGTATATTATTATAGGAGAGATAATGCCTGCTATTATTCTCGAGTTATTATTCCAGTGAATAATGCCCATAATCTTAAGTGTAATAAGTGAATAAGTAGATAATTTGTCACATGGTTAACCTCACCTTCTACCAATTTTAAATATAATTATTGTGGCCTCCCAATTTAAAACTTGAAATCACAGTGAATATTGAAATCTGCAACTGAACAACGTGAATAATAAATTCATTATACCCGTTACAAGCGGCGTTTGTAATGGTTATCATTTTATATGATGATGTGATTTACATAACAGAAGTGGTTACTCTACAAACAATGTCGACGTCGAGATGAACTTCGACATTCTAAAATGCCTATAATGACGTTAATTTGCAATTATTAAGCTTTGTCGGGTATCCTCGTAACCCATTTGGGATAGAATTTATATTTTAAGATTCTTTGGAAATTAAAAAATGGCATTTTAGTTTTGACAGCACAGCATGTTAAGCTTTTT